TACGAGATACTGGGAAGAAATCTCTAACTTTCCTGTGTCTTAAAAGTTTTATCTGCTAAAGAAAGTTCCTGTTCTATTAAGATACAGTGAGTTAATGTTAACAGTGACTTAACGTTAAGTCTCAGCATGGCCACCCACCTTGTCTTCCCCAAGTATTGGGATATGTAAAAACAAAATCGGTTTTGATATTATCTTGCTCTAGAAAGTGACTTTCTAGTCATTTCATGAAAGGTAAGTACATTCTGGTAACTTTTATATAGGCCTTGTATTGACCTAGTTTTTAATCTTGATTGACTGAYCTGATCTCCTTCAGTGACAAGGTGACGTGCTTAGTGGCTGAAGGATAGGCTCATGTTGTTTATATGGACTTTAGTTGAGCCTTTGGCACCGTTTCCCACAGTATTCTGTAAAAACTGGCTGTTMAGGACTTGGACGGGTGCAGTCTTTGCTGCGTAAAAAGCTGGCTGGTTAGCCAAACCTAGAGACTGGTGGAAAATGGAGTTAAATCCCACTGGCCATTAGWCACAGGTGGTATTCCTAAGTGGTCAGTATTGGGACCAGTTCTGTTTAATATCTTTATCAATTACCTGTATCAGGGTATCAGGTGCCCCTTCACTCAGCCTGCGGATAACACCAGGCTTTGTGGGAATGTTGATCTGGAGAACAGGAAAGCTCTGCAGAGGGATCTGGAAARCTGGATTGATGGGCTGAGGCCAGTGGTATGGGACTGAACAARGGCTGGGGGCAAAGCAGCTGGAAAGCTTCTCAGTAGAAAAGGACCTTGGGTGCTGGCTGGMAGCAGCTGAACATGAGCCAGGAGTGTGCCCAAGTAGCCAAGAGGGCCAATGGCATCCTTGCTAGTCAGCTGGACTAGGGGAGTGATTGTTCCCCTATTCTTGGCACTGGTGAGGCCACACTTCGAGCTCTGTGTCCAGTTCTGGGCCCCTGACTTCAAAAAGAACATTGAGGTGCTGGAGCAAATGCAGAGAAGGTCAAGGGAGTTCCTGGGGAGGTATCTGGAGCACAAGTCCTGTGAGGACAAGCTAAGGGAGCCAAAGTTGTTCAGTCTGGAGAAATGGAGGCTTGGGGAGACCTTCTCACTTTCCCCCTGAGAGAGGAGGCTGTAGCCAGATGTGGGTCAGTCTCTTCTCCCAGGTAGCAAGTGATACAAGAAGAGGAAGTGGCCTCTGTGAGGTTTAGGTTGGATATTAGGAAAAATTTCWGTGCCGAAATAGTGGTCAGGCATTAGACCAGGCTTTCCAGGGCCTGGTTAGAACCCTGAAGGTATTTAAAAAAAGTGTACATGTGGCACTAAGGGACATGGTTTATTGATGGATTTGGCCGAATCCATAGTGCCAGCAATTGCAGTAAWGTGAGTGAGTGCTACTGATGGTCCAGCCAAGCTCGCCAGCATGGACAAGCATGTGTGTATCTTCAAGGGGGAGAGGGAAACAGCTGACCGTTGGATGGTCAAGCCGGTCTGGCTGGCTGCCAGAGACACAGCAGGTTCTGGAAATCTCCATGGTGAGATTGCAGGTGAATGTGTTAATGTGTTGTTTCAATTTATTTTTCTCTGTTTCAGGGCAGAGTTGGTTTTTTTTTTTCCTGTGTTCAGTTACGGTAACAGCCCCCTGCTTTATTGCAGGTAGAGTACTGGTGCCATCTGGTGGTACTAATACATTCCCAGGAATGAGAAAAACGACTTGTTAGGAATTCCACTGAGATGTGAGAAATTGCTGGCACAATACTAAGAATTCATAGATATATTTGCTGCCTTAGAATGTAATTATGCTGTTGAATTAATTCATAAAAAAGCTGTATGTGTACTCATAGCTAGACTTGCTGGAGCAAATTTAAATCTTTAACCTATTTCTTTMTGCTCAACAGAAAGGTTTGTTTCTGGTAATTTTTCAGTGAGGCAGTGCWTTGCAAACACCAGATAAAAGAATTTTTTTTAGCTTACAATATTTTAAAACTCGCTTTGAAACACAGATTATCTTCTGTTCCTGCATTTTGCTAAACCCAGCACAGACTTCTCAAGGCTAATGATTGAAGTCACTGTGCTCTTTTTTAAAGTGGTTGATACATTGCTTCAAAATAAAAGTTCAACWACACACACCTCACAGCAGTTGCAATAAACAACTTCTGTGTTTGAAGCCAAAGCAAGCAACAACAAATGTTGTTTCCTTTATCCTTCCATCTAATGAAAAGGTGTCCGACATCTAAAGTTGTTTGCCAGAGGTAATATCCTCATCCTGCTTTAGAATACTATACAGGCTGTATCGGCATTGCTAGGAATGAAAGTAGGACTATGACTGCTTCCTCAATTCTCTTGAAGTAAATTTCTGTCTGATAAATATCTTGCTCTACAATGGAAAAACTTGCAAAAGAGGAAGGCACTTTATTTTAAGCTGAGGCTTTTAAATGAATTTATTTTAGCCATTATTCTTCATCTGTTGCAGGTCAACGCATTATTCTRATAAGCTACTCTTAAATTAATTTACTTACGGAAGAGAAGTCTCTGTTCAGTAATTAAAAACTTCTGTCTTTCTATTGCAACCAATTAGAATAACTAGCTATTTTTGTCTTAATCCATCCAGTTGAAGAAGACAAATTCTTGTGCTTGTATTTTTTCATAATCTCTGACCTCATGACCATAAAACACCTTACTTGCATTGTGATGGAAACGTGAATTAGACTTAGTTCTAATAACTAACTGCATTAGTTCTCTTTACATGGTTATGCTTACAGTGTCAGGAGCCATTTTTTTMTTCTATCTTAATGGAAAAGGTGTTTCCAGGCCTGTTCAGCTACTACAAATTGTAGAATTAGAACCAGCTATTAAAATTGGACATATAGAATAGTGTTTAGAAATTGATTGCTAATATTTAAATTATTATTTAAAAAGTAAATTTATAAATATTTATTGGTCATCTTTGAGAATAGTGAAACTGATTGCATAGCAAGGGCTGTATTTTGTCTCCACACTTCAATTCAGCTCACTGAAAATCTGGGTTTGTCTACTGAGTGTCACCAGTGTTCAGCTAATCGCAAAAGTGAGAAGCTTGTGCCTGATATAAGCCAGATATAAGCATCAGATTTGAAAATATTCACCGTGAGTTTTGATCTGAATAAAGTTCCATTATTGTCATGCTTTGTTGTTAGAGCTGTGCTTTTCACCTGTCTTTGTGAATTTGGGTACATCTTCCACGTGCATTTCAGCTTCAGTGCTGTATGACTTTAGTACTTTTCAGTAATGATTTAGCAAAATTGTTATTATTTTCTACTTTTAGCTGTTTGCTGCAGGCTTTCCTCACTGTGAGCATTATACTTCTGTTTTTTAATGAAGTGATGTTATTGTGCTGTATATCAGCGAAAGAAAAATATGTATGCTTATCCTGTTAAAAYAGAGAAAGGTTGTAATGGTTTGTAAATCTGTCAGGCAGTCGCTTCACTTCTGGATTTGTACCTGGTAAGAATAACTTTCTGTTTTGCTTTACAAAGCTAGGTGGTACAAACAAGAATTACACTTGAGAAATCCTTCAAAGAAAATACTAGTATTCATTTTTGACTTATTAAGGATCAATAGAGTGATGCACTTGCCTGGTGTCCAGCAGCCATCTAGATCTAAAAAGGAACTGAATTTCCCTTCTTTAAGCTTTCTTGGTGCATCATGATCATCCTGTAACTAGAACATGAAGAATACAATGATAATTTAGGATGAACTTGGTTGCATTGTTTTTCTTCACAAATTGAGTGCCACATCCTTCTTCCAGATGAGCCAAAGTGTAATCTTGTTCTCTTCCATCAGCAGTGAGGGAAAATGCATGACAATTCCTCTTGAAAGACTTTTGCTAGAGTGTACATTGTGATGTGCTTTTGGAGTGGTGAGCCTCTGAGGTGGTTTCTGTAGAAGCAGTGTCACTGCTTTCTTCTCCCCATTTTGCTGCAKAAATAGGTCTTTTAAGTGACGAATGTCTTACGGAGTTTATTCTACCATATGAGAGGCTTGCTGTCCTCAATGGATTTTATTTTTTTTGTGAATTCCAACAAAAGATCATCTCCTGCAACTCTGCATTATTTTCAGTTAATAGTAATTTTTTACTTTCAATTCAATCAATGAAGTTCACAGTGGAACTGCAAGGAGATTTTTATTGGCATTGTTATGAAATTTTTGTCTAGTGCTATCATTAATATCTTGTTTTCTCACTGTTTTTATAATTCCCTTAGCAGTATAACAGCAAAGTCATGTCCTGTAGGCTATGCCTTTGATTCTTTGGAGCAGTAAGATTGAACCAGTAGTACTCTTTACCTGTCCATGTAACATCTAAATCTTCCCTGTGTGGATCAGTGTGAAAAATTGCTTCTTCTGTCAAACTTAAGTATTCATATGAGCTTGTATCACCTTCAGCCAGAGAATAAAGGTCTTCTTTTTTGTGTTTTTTAAAATACAATTTTATTCTGGTAAATACATAGAGATTCTGGAAATATTAATTACTTCCTTGAAAGCATTTTTGGAAGATTAAGATACAAAGAGCAGATTACTTAAAAATACATCTTGAAGACTCAGAATGCTGCTGATCTGAATGTGCAGGGTCAATTAAAAATACTTTCTTTTCCTACTGATTTGCTAGTGCATAGTTTATGCTTATTTATTRGTTATTTCTGGGTCATTTTTAAAAGTAATTAATTACTTTTTTATATCGCCATCACATAGTAACAGAACTTATTAGTTTTTTGGAGCAATTTTCCTTGTCTTAAGTGTGTTCTTTTGTAGGAGACTGTGTTAAATCTTTTTTTCTTTCTYTTTTCTAAGGATCAAATTTTGATTTTTTTCCCCCCTTTTTTTGCTTACAAGTGCCCCTGCTCCACTCTTATCTTAAATTAATATAGATACTTGAACACTTAGGTGAATTTGGTGAGCTGAGTATTTCTTTGTGGCAGCTGTATTTTGAGGAATTTTGGATGTTAACTTTCAGACTATTCTTCTGTCTTTTCAGGTCTCTGGATGGCAGACTCTGAAAAGAAATGCTGTTTTAAGAGGTATGCCTCATGTAGGCCAAAACATTCTGGACTAGCGTCTTTATAAATTGTAAGGCTGCACTTCTGAGGAGTCCTTCCTCTGATCTTATCTGTAATCTTGCATTAGGAATAGTTTCAGTGCTGACATCTCACTGAAAGGTGAAAATTGGTACACAGATATGCAGGTTTGTCTTATCAGTAACACAGTTTTAGTAGARAGGTCTGTAATGTATTGCTTAACCTTCTGCTTGATCACCTTGAAGAGAGCATTGTCCTTGTGGATGAAATGGATGAAGCATGAACAAAACGAGTTGACACTCTGAAATGTGCATAGCCCCTTCTGACCTCTCCTGACTGTGTGTGTGTGTGTGGCGTAGTTTGTTTGCTTGTTTTTTTAATTGGGAGCGTAGTGCAGATGCCTTTGTAAATGTTTTTACTCCCTTTTTGCTATGTTGCAAGACTTCCAGACACTGAGACACTGACACCATACCAGCCATGTGGTTTAAAATAATCTCAGCTGGAACCAAGATGAAGAAATACTAATATTTTTGCAAATGATCTCTTTTTCTTTCATGTTAGCTGAATGTTTGGAACATATTCTGTGTTTGTTTGGGATTTCATGTTCCAGCACTGAAAGAAACTGTCTCTCCTCTTTCCATTGTTGGTATGTTGTTTCTGAATAATCAATTGCTTGGCAGCTTTTAAGACAACAGTCTCTTCAAAACAGAATTCTTCTACCACTTCTATCCATTTCAGTATTCCTAAGTGGTAGATGTTAGAAATGTTGGCTTTGTCTTTGTAAGAGACAGATTGGTCTGAGTAATTTCTTTTCGTAACAGTTTTAAAGAGGATCTTTGAATTCTTTTTAGACTCTCCAGAGGGTTACCTATTTTCTACAGCAGTACAGTGCTGATTTGTTTAGTTCTGACTTTAAAGTAATAAGTAGGATGAAGTACTAACAACTTGGGTTAAATGTGGCTCTTCAGCTATTGACCAAGATTTTAATGTTGCTCTTTTTTATGCAGTGTTTACAAAAGTCTTAAAGAAAGCCATGCTAAGAATTAGGGAAGATGTAATTGCTATTTTCAACACAACCTCTGGAAAGAAATCAAAATGAGCACTTCTCTGCTCTTGGAGATGCACACTTGTAGGATGAGAGGCATTGTAGCCAAGTTGCAATGCAAGAGATTCCTGTGAGACAGTAGGAGCATTTTTTGCCAGTGAGAGTGGTCAAGCCCTGGACAGGTTGCCCAGAGAGGCTGTGGAATCTCCATTTTTTCAGTTTTCTGAGTGAAACAGGAATAGGCCCACGGTAATGCCATTGAAGTGGCCCTGCTTTGACTGCAAGGTTCGATTACAGTGGCTTGGAGAGGTTACTCTATTCTATCCACAGCATTTTCTATTGAATCTCTGTGATGTGCTGAAGGCACACTTTTTGCATTTTACATTTCTTGTAAACACAGTTGAGTCTCAGGTTGGTGTGTTTTATTGCAGGTCTTTTTTGGGTGGGTTTTTGTTTGTGGCTTGTTTGTTTGTTTTGGTGTTTGCTTTTTTTCTGTGGGTTCGGTTTGTGTTTTGGTTTTTTGTTTGTTTGTTTGGGTTTGGTTTGGGGTTTTTTTGGTTAGCTGGTGAGTTGAGTTTTGTGATTATAGAACTGATAAGTTCTTACTTCTTACTATTCCAGTAACATGGTTATGAGGGAGAAGAACCATGCTTTGGCCTCAGTGTTCACTTGTTAACTAAGTAAAAAGTAAGACTCTTTAATTTTTTTAATCAAATGTCACTGTTCATTCAGTTTTCACGACTGAGAATTTCAGAGTTCTCTACATTAAAGTTTGAGATTACTTGCTGTTGTAGGTTACTATTTGAGCTGTAAGTCTCAGACAAAAAACAAAGAATTTAATTTAGAAGAATTAAGGATTTTCTGTGTTATAGAGGTTTGCCTTTCTTGGCTTTGGCTTTCTAACAGCTAAATTAAGGTATGGTATTTGCTGTTGCCTGCTAACTGCTATGGGAGTTTAGCTGGAAAACTGAGGTTTGCAGTATTCAAATGAGCCATTAGGTTCGAATAGTATATTGTAAATGTTCAGAATCTGGTCTGTCCTCTAAATTTGCCTKCTTTTGTATAGAATTTCACTTTCTGTGACAGTTCTGTTTCTCAACTTGACTGTGATACTGGGAAAGATTGAGAAGTTCTTCAGCGAGCATCTTCTGTACAGTGATTGATGGGTCACATTACAAAATAAGACAAAAGCAAATAGTGTCTTTTAGAGGTTTGCTATTCATACTGAATCCTGCACACTCTAGCGAGTTGATAAAGTCTGTAAAAAAAAAGAAGCATCGATTGGGAGATACCTTCTTGCCTACAAATATTTTTTTTTTTTAAATCGAAAAAGAAATGTATCACCCTAGGCTGTGCTTTGGAAAAATAAACTTATTGTCTCCTCCTATTATTGTTTTAAGGTGGTGTGTGTGACTTTAACATCAACCTAATTCTGTTTTCTTTTTACAGCAGCCAGTTTTAGGTATTGAGCTCATGAGAACTTCATTGAGTTGGTGTCTTTGATTTTGACAGAGTTGCAGTCATGAGCAGCCTAAGATCAGTCAATATAGGAAGAAGCTCAGCTTGTTTATTACATGGATAGGCAAAGGTGGTGTGATAGTGTGCTAAGTTCATAGGATCATATTAGAAAAGACATCAGGAGATCATGTCTGTCATGGGATCTAGTTACCTGTAATAGGACCTGAGGGAATGGCATGACCCTGTGTCAAYGGAAATTTAGGTTAGACTCTTCTCCAGAGGGTGGCTGGACCCTGGAACAGGGTCCCCAGGAAAGTGGTCACAGCACCATGTTGACGGAGTTTGAGAAGCATTTGGACAATGCTCTCAGGCACATGGTGGGATTGTCMGGGATGTCCTATGCAGGGCCAGGATTTGGACTTGACAATTCTATGGGTCTCTTCCAACTCAGGATATATGTAATCCACCTATTCAAAGCAGAGTAAACTGAGGCCCGACCAAGTGGCTCAATGTGTTATCCAGATGTCCGTCTGTGCTTTTAAGCTGCACAGTTGCTTGAGAATGTGTATTTAGAGATGGACGTTTAGTCTTCTGTGGTTTTTGTTTTTAAGGTTTTGTTTTGGAAGCATGTGAATTATTTTTAGTGCTTTTTTTCAGCATATCACTGTTTGAGGGATGGGAAGATAAATTCTGTGAAAGGGACCACCTGGAATTCAGATTTGAAAAAATACCCCTTTTTCAAAAGGGAAGATGTTTAAGGGAGACCTGTATTTGTCTAGAAAACAGGAAAATAGTTCGGATTCCTAGTCAAACTTCATGTTTTGAATGTTGCGTAGTCTTGCTGTTTAGTTTAGTAGTTTGTATGAGATTGTTGACATGGATTAATTGCATATGCAGAATCTGTCAGTAGTCTAAGCAGAATTATGTCGCTTCCTTCAGAATTCTTCAGAGAAGTCCAGCATTTCTGTCGCATTCCAACCGTGGGGAACTGTGAGGAGTTCTTTTAAGATGGATGGCCGAGAACGAAATTAAGTCAACCAAGACAAACTTTGTATCTGAGAACCKTTTATTGGTAATAAGTAGTTGCCCACTAAAGGGGGCTGGAAAAGWMAGCAAAGAAGGGAAAATGGAAAAGGAATGGGGAGAGGGAGAAAGGAGACAGAGGGAGAAAGCGGGCGTTGGCACCAGTAGCATTGGGGTGTGCCATTGATGTCCATGTGATGGGGATGAGCGCACTGCTGCCGGAGGGAGAGCAGCTCGGGGAGAGGAGCGGCTCCCCCCGGCCACGAGCTGCTGGACACTCAGTGGGTGGACACTTGGGCAGGTCCAGGACCCTGGGTGGGGTCAAAGCAAGGATCGCAGTGGTGGGAGAGGTCAGAGGCAGGCAGGTGGCTCAGGGAGGACAGCGGAGGCTGGGTCAGGCTAAGAAGTGGAGCAAAGCAGATGCTGCACTCGAGGCTTGGAGGGCAGCCATTGTCCTGCTARGTGTCCAGCAGGAGGGAAGGCAGGTACATGGGGGCGAGYGAGAGCTGGCGAGGRCAGAATCCAGGCAGGCTGGAGCTGGGGCAAAAAGGACCCCTCAGCAGCAAGCCCACCAGCAGTAAGCAACAAAGAGAGAGCGAGCCACAGGAACAGGAAAGCCCAACCGCACATGCACGCAGAAAGACCCCCCCCCAAAGCTCATGGCGCAGTTGATTTTTATACCCCCTGGCTCCTCCCAAAGTCTGCCTGCTGAGCAGGAAATCATTGGTCCAGTCCAGTCTTCTTACACTGTCCATTGATGGAGTCCTTCCACCTCTGATTGGGGAAATGTCTCTGGGGAGAGCAGTGTCTCCAGGCTGCCCATGTGAAGTGTTGCCAGGCAAAATCCCCCCAGAGACAAGGCTTCACCCATCTCCTGGTTGCCTCCTGTGCTCTCCCTYCCCCACATGCCTCTGACAAGCAGTGTTGAGGCAAACCAAGATTAAAATGGCTCCTCACAACTTCATAAACTTGCTTTACTTGTTTTATGTTACTACATGTTGATGTGGTAAAAGTAGATCCTTGAGAGTGCTGCCTAAATAATAGAAACAGATGCTGAGACATCAGAAGAGCATTGAGATTTTGTCAAGAGGTGTGTTGTCTTGCATTCATGGGAGCCCAGCAGTTTAAAGAAATCCTGATTTGGTGTTCAGTTTTGTGTGTGATAAAATCACTATTTGCATGTCTGATAAACTCAAACTGAATTTTTCAGGTTAATTAGGCTGATGTAAAATCTTAAATATTTGAGAAATATTTTAAAAATGAATTTTTTACTCTTAATGTTAAAATAACAAGTAGTCTTTGTAACAAGATGRAGTTAAGATGACATAGAAATAGGATTTAGCATATCATTTATGATATGCTTGTTAGCATCAATGTCTTGGGAATATTTTGTTCCTTCTACTTGCTTTTAATCTCCAGATCTAATACACTTTTTTTTTTCTCCTACACCAGTGTACTTCAGATTATATGTGGTTGCTTAAAAGATATGTTTTGTGTGAGGTATTTTGGTGGGGTGATAACGACCTGTCTGTCTTATATGATGCAAGTGATGCTTAACTTCTGTTTGGCAGTAGTCTGTAGAAATGTGGGTATCTTGGAGTGCTGTCCCAAGAGCAGATGTATGGTTCAGATAGACTAGTACCTGTTCTGCGCTGATAGTTAACACATTCCATATAGGAACATGAAAGATATACTGTATTARCCGTCAATCCACATGGAGAATTTCTTCTTAAGCATTGTGAATGGAAGCTTAGCTTTGTATTTTGTGGTATGACTGTATAATTTTCAAATGCAGTAATAATGAGGAAATAAAAGTTGGTGATAAAATTTGCAATTATGTTATATACTTTGCTCTRAAGTGGTGCAGGTCAGGCAGGTGATAAATGTGGAATTACTTTACATAATGTGGAATTACTTATGTTTTTAATTAGTTGCTGTGATTAATGAACTTAATTTCTTCTATGAGGCTGTAACATTAGTTGGTCTGTTGTTTTTGTTTTTTGGTTTTTTTTTTTTTTTTTTTTTTTTTTTTTTTTTTTTTCTAAAAATTTTTTTTTATTTCCCTCTAGGAAGCAATTCAAGTTTTCTGCAAAGTCTGAGTATTTATGTTATCTGACTGAACTGACATCTTGGTAATATGCCATTTTTTTTGCAAGCTTCTCTCTACCTTTATAAATAGAAAGTGGTCTGGCCTCTTTTGAATTTTATTTTTATTAATTTTAAAATTTTTAATAAATCCTCTTGTTGTAACAGATCGACTGTTTTGAAAAACAAGAGAGGCTTGCCTCTCATCTGCTTCTGAGACTGGAGGACATGGGTCACAATTGCACAAAATGCATGCTTAAAGTCTGACACTGAGAGCTTGCTTATAGACCTTAAAAGTTACATTGTTTATTGGAAATTCAAGGTGTGTTAAAAGTACCACATCTGGATCTCTGCATGAGCAGAGAAGAGATGCTTCCTCTGTTTTAGTAGCTGCAAGAAAGCAGCATGGGACAGGCCTTCTGGAGGAATCTTGCACTGTAGATTTTATCATGTTTTGAAACTGAGGTGCCTATTGCCCTGGAAAAACCTGTTGCCTTTCCATTGCTTTTTCCAATTGTTCTTATTTCCAGTCCTTTAAACATCTAGTGAGAGAGACTTTCTGTTCTCCTTGAAAGGTGTATGAAATTTTCATAAGGTTGATTTGATTAGGCTTGTTCTGGGTATTCTAGAAGATACTTATTTTTCCAGTGCCGAAATGTGTATGATCTTTTTCCTGTTAAGTTGGCGAAGTGTGTATTATTCTTGCTATCCTCTTCTTTTTGGTGGTTTTTTTTTTTTTTTTTTTTTTTTAATTGGCACAATGGGCTTTATTTTTATTTGGTATTATTTTTGCCGCTTCTGTGTGGTTCAGTCACTGTTCTCATAGTATACCCCATCTGAATGGTTTTTTAATTTGTTGAAGGTTCTTGTAGTGGCAGTTTTTATCTCTACTGTAGTGAGAATAAGTGGTGATTTTTTTTTTTTTTTTTTTTTTTTTTTTAGAAAATAAACAATTTCACATTCACTGTTAAATCTTTGGCTCTTCTGCCTTAGTGCTTGGATTCTGTCTGTGGTGATCCTGAACACCTTCCTCTGAATTCCTGCCTAGACAAGTAACTAGACCTGTACTCATACTGACTTTCTCAGGGTCTGTGTAGGCTAATTACTCTTTTGCCTGTCATAAGTTGTGTTTTCTAGTGTGCTGACTTTCTGTTTAACTGTGGCTTGAGGCTATCCCTTGAACGCTTCTTGAAGTGATGTTGAATAGCTCCTCTTCAGCACCATAGAAATGTACATACCTCAAGCAATAGCTTGTAACTGATGACCTCATGCACTAACTTGCAGGGATTTAATGTTCATCTTAATGTGTTTTCAGAGAGTTAAAAAATAATTCTGCAGTTTGGAATAGTAATACAGTTTCAGAGTGTAGGTTCTGACCTATTTTGTTGACTGCAAAACCAAGCTTCTCTTTTATTCTTTTGTAATGGGTAGTCACTAGGTATTTAAATAAATGTTAAGTACTGTAAAGTAAGTGTGATTTTTTTCCTCCCCCCACCATTTACTTCTTAACCATGGGAACTGGAAGTTTTTCCTAGTAATTTTTGTATAAGACAATGAAGATTTTAATATGTGGATGTTGGATGTGCTTTTCCATAGTTTCTAGTGGAACATAAGGTATTCGTCTGCACTGGAATAGTCCATATTGGCATAGAAGTTTGCCTTTTGAAGTTCTTTTTTCTTAGTACCACTTCATTGAACATAGGAGAAAAAAAATGTGACAAAATTAAAGATAAGACAAACTTATTGTGGTATTTCTATGTGAAATTTGGGAAACGTGTCATCATTCAAATTCTGAAATGTTTTCCAAACTAAGCTAGATGAAAACCAGTATTTGTAAGCTAGGGAGACTACCATTTCCTTTAAGGAAAAACAGAGTAATTTGGTGATTTCTGCAGTGTGGGAACAGAATGCAGTAGGTTGTAAGCAAGTATAGTCTGCTAGATTAATTAACYAGAATGCTTTCAAGTTATGGTAACAGCGCAATTTTTGAAAACATAATACAGCTGTGTTTAAAAGATAACTTTTTTTTTTGTTATTGTGTGGTGTTTTCTTGCTAAGCAGTTGGGGTTACTGCAACAGAAGTTAAACAAGATTTTTAATTTTTGATTTCTAATTTTTCTTCCTTTTAAAGGTGCTTGTGCTATCCCAGGCTCAAAAGAAAGGAATAATGTCTAGTTTGAGTTAGTACAATAAACTGCAACTCTGCCAATGAAATTATTTTCATCTGTAATGTAGTCTTGATTTACTTGTTTAAATAAAAGGGATTCCAGGAGGTTTACTTTCCAGCCCCATTACTCAGAGACAGAAAACTAGGCTTTCACAAGGCAAACACTTAAGGGTATGGTTAAATCTAATAGTTGATTTGACTTTTCAACTGTCAAAACACTTTTGATCCTGAAATTACTTTGAGGATTTTCTTCCTTCATATTTTTGTGAGTTTTCTGGCATTCCTAGACTGAATATGATGACTGAAGTTACCAGGATATTAGGGTTTCACCTTAAGTCTGAATCCCTTGGTTGGTAGTGGAACTACTAGTAGCCAGAAGAGCTGTTTTTTATGCTCTTGCAGTACTGACTTACAAACCCCATTTATGTGGGGTTTACGTTGTTTTGCTTCTGTGAAGTGACATAAAAATTAATGTCATGCATGCATTAAAACATGCATGTACATTATATGAAAGTCTAAAGCTGTGTTAATACTAGTTAATCATTTATTCCCTAATGATATGTCTCTTCCACAGACACCAAAGATGCTAACAAGAAAGATTAAGCTTTGGGACATCAATGCCCATATAACCTGTCGTCTGTGCAATGGATACCTGATTGATGCTACTACTGTAACAGAATGCTTGCATACCTGTAAGTAGAAATATTCTTAAGTCAAAGTTGCTGGTTTGTTTTTTTTTTTTTTTTTTTTTGATATGCAGCATGTTGAAATTTGAAATATCTATTGTGCATCAACCAAAGTAGCATTTGTTTTACTAGACACAGCTTTTTTAACAGTTGATTTACAACAAAGCAAATGAAGGGATCATTAAAGCTGTACTGCATAAACTTGAAGCCATATATCATTGGTGGTAATGTAAATATTCAAGAATGCAGCCTGTCTTCCTCGTGAAGGAATGTAGAATATCTAATTCTCTCTTCYGTGACAGTTGATGTAGCATATGTTCTCCACCTGGAACCTTTCAGATGTCTCTTTCTCTCCTGTTCCTCTGCAGAAAGCAGAATAGTTTATCGATCAAGAATTAGTATGTTGTATTGTACCCTAGAAATAAGTTTGTATTCCAAAATACTATGATAAGGTAGTTGTTTGTTGTTAAGTTGCTTTGGGAATTTTTATGTTCATGTAAGTGAAGCATGACCAATACCTGGCAATGCATTCCATGTTTTAAAATTATTCTGWCACAATATTTATGTTTATTCTGATCAAACTAGTATATTGTTTATTTAGGTTAATTACTTACAGTCCTAAATTTTTTGGAAGGCAATTATTTTGTGACTGTGTCTCATCATAAAACAAAAAGTTTCAGCAGATTTCTTCCTTACCTAATATGTCTGACARAAGGGAAATGCAAGGCTATTAATTTGTCAGTGATTCGTTTTTTATATTTCATTTAGAAGTTCTTTTTATCAGCTTTAATGAATTTGTTCTATTTGTCACACTTAGTCTCTTTTTGGGTCTCCTCATAGCATCTGGGATCCAAGATCCAAGTAGAGCCAAGAACCATAGAATGGTTCATTAAACTAGTATCTAGATCCAATCCCCTGGCCATGGRCAGGGTTACCATCTACTTGATCAGGTTGCTCAAATCCCCATCTAGCCTGGCCTTAGATACTGTGTTRGTTTTGCTTGGCTCAGTTTTTGGAAATGGGGGGGCTAAAAAGATGGCTCCTGTGAGAAGCTTCTGGAGGCTTCCACCATGTCCAGCAGAGCCAAWTGCTGWTGGCTCTGAGGATGATGGACATGCCACTGACCAAACCTGGGCCAACTGGAGATGGTGGTTACACCTCTGTGAAAACATATTTAAGAAGAAATCAAAACAAAGGGGTGACACAAAGGTTTGTCAGTGGAGGAGGCTAAGAAGTATGTGAGGGAATGCAGACACCAAGGTCAGTGGAGAAGGAGGGGGAGGAGCTGCTCCAGGCACCGGAGCTGGGATTCCTTTGCAGGCCGTGGTGGCAACCATGGTGGAGCAGGCTGTCCCCCTGCAGCCCATGGTGACCATGGTGGTGCAGGCTGTCCCCACGGTGACCATGGTGGAGCAGGCTGTCCCCCTGCAGCCCACAGTGACCATGGTGGAGCAGGCTGTCACCCTGCAGCCCATGAGGTCCACAGAGGGTGCAGGAGCCACCCGCAGCCCGTGGAGGAGGGAGGTCCCCACGCCGGAGCGGGTGGATGCTGGGAAGGGGCTGTGTCCAGCATGGAGCCATGGAGAGAGAGGCCTTGCTCCCGAGATGTAACAGCCTGGCCTTGGGCCTGCACCCAGGGGACGAGGGACCCCACGGTGCAGCAGTTTTGGGATGACTGTCTGCCCGTGGGGGGACTCACGCTGCAGCAGATGTGTGTGGACTGCTGCTCGTGAGAGTGGAACCGCACCGGAGAGGTTCTCAGAGAACTGTCTCCCGTGGGAGGGACCCCACGGCAACGCAAGGGAAGGACTCCTCTCCCTCAGCAGCTGCAGAGGATCCGGTGATGAACTGACCAACCCCACACCTTGAACTGACCAACCCCACACCCTTAACTGACCAACCCCACACTGACCAACCCCACACCCTGAACTGACCAACCCCACACCCTGAACTGACCAACCCCACACCCTGAACTGACCA